GACTGTAGATGACTGGGAGGAACTGGGATGGACTGGGATGGACTGGGAGGGACTGGGAGGGAACTGGGATGGACTGGGAGCGACTGGGAGCGACTGGGATGGACTGGGATGGACTGGGAGGGACTGGGAGGGAACTGGGATGGGTACTGGGGGCTGTATTTTGGGGTATTTTGGGGTATTTTGGACTGTGTTTCAGGCTGTGTTTCGGGGTGTTTTTGGGGTGTATTTTTGGGGGTTTTGGGGTGTTGTTGGGATGTTTTGGGGTGTATTCAGGGTGTTTTTGGGGTGTTACCTTGCGCACCAGGTCCAGGTTGCCCCCGCAGGAGGACGGTGCTGTTACGGGGGTGTGGTTTGGGCTGTGTTTTGGGGTGTGGTTTAGGGTGTTTTGGGGGTGTCTCAGGCTGTGTTTTGGGGTGTTTTGGGGTGTTTTTGGGTGTTTTTGGGTGTTTTCGGGGTGTTACCTTGCGCACCAGGTCCAGGTTGCCCCCGCAGGAGGACGGTGCTGTTACGGGGGTGTGGTTTGGGCTGTGTTTTGGGGTGTGGTTTAGGGTGTTTTGGGGGTGTCTCAGGCTGTGTTTTCGGGGTGTTTTCGGGGTGTTTTTGGGTGTTTTCGGGGTGTTTTGGGGTGTTTTGGGGTGTTTTGGGGTGTTTTCGGGGTGTTTTCGGGTGTTTTTGGGTGTTTTTGGGTGTTTTCGGGTGTTTTCGGGGTGTTACCTTGCGCACCAGGTCCAGGTTGCCCCCGCAGGAGCTCGGCGCGATCTCCACGCGCTCCATCAGCCCCTGCAGCTGGTCCCGCACGTCGCGGGCGCGGCGCAGGGAACGCGCCTGGACAAAGTGCTCGTAACACCACTGCAGGGAGTGACCGCTCAACACCCACTGCGGGAGGGACACCGGGGACACCGGGGACACCGGGGACACACCAGGGACACACCGACAGGGACACACCGGGGACACCGGGGACACACAGACACACCGGGGACACCGGGGACACACAGACACACCGGGGACACCGGGGACACACAGACACACCGGGGACACCGGGGACACCAGGGACACACCGGGGACACACGGACAGGGACACACCGACAGGGACGTGGGCACACGGACACAGCCGGGGACACGGGGACACAAGCACAGACACACGGACACGGGGACAGACACAGGGACACAGGGACAGGGAGAAAACAACACACAAAGGGACACGGTCAGGGGGTGCTGCCGTGTCCCCA